TTTTTTTACTGTTTTTGTTTATTGTTATTATTATTTTTGTTGTTGTTGTAGGCTATCTCTGTTCTAAGGATTAACCTGAAATATAAATTTAAGGTCTTCTCAGGTATTTTCTGAGTTTTTCCCTGGGCATGCACAATTACTTTCTAATTTCTTTTGTATATGCAGTTGTTTTTGAATGTCTGGCTTCCAAAAGGGGAGAAAGAGAAAAATGAAGGGAGAAAAAAGAGCACTGGCCCTTTACCTTCCTTGGAAGTTACTTCAGCTAATGGGGAGGGGCTTGCCACAATGGGGATAGGCACAACAACAATGGATGCCCACCTCTTTGTCTGTACCTCTGTGAGCAGAAGCAGCAATCAACGATCCATCAGAGCAAAGATCTCTAATATCTGGAAGTCAGGGTCCTTTTTGCCAACCCTGACTCTCACAAGCTATGTACGGATTGTTCCAAAAACATGTGCACATTTGCCGGTTACAAAGCTGGGATTGGGGATGGGTAGATCAGCTACAGTTTATTGTTCAAGCCTTTTCCTGGAAGTTGCAAGCCTTCAATATATCCTAGTGTCTCCAAATTGTTACATCACATTGATTTGCCAGCTCGATTGTTGACTAAACAGAGAAACAGATTCCTTGTGCTTCCTACTCTATCATTTTTCTCGAATCCTCTTTCCACAGTTGTTTCGATAGAGTGATGCCCATCCTTTTTTCTTGCATTATAGTCCACAGACAAGAAACTGAAAATCTGCCCAGATCCAAATCTTTAGCAGAATCAGCCCATGCCATCATTGTCCCCTTGATAGGTGGAGACATCAAGCACATTGCCTAGCACTATCAGGAAATCTGCACAGTTCTGGGTCAGTGGTTGCTAATCATCTCTCTATAGTCCATGCAAGCCATGGGAGTAGAACATGTAATAAAAATACTTTCTTTCAAATCTGGAAGTTAGCATTTTGATGTATCAGAAAGCAGAGGAAACTCTAGAAAATGCTGGTGAATTTCTTTTGGAGTGATGCTAGTATTTTTCTGGGACATGTATGCTACTAATGAACACAGGAATCGGTATTCTATCACCATCCTTGCCAGCAGCATGGGAAGTGTTATCTGTGGGTAGTATAACTTTCAATCCTGTGTCTTAGTCATCTGGGCTGCTATAAACTGCGTAGCTTAACAGTAATTTATCTCTTATTGTTCTGGAGGTGGAGAAGTCCAAGATCAAGTTATCTGTAGATTCAGTGTCTGGTGAAGGTCTATTTCCTGGGTTATGAAGGCTGCTTTCTCACTGTGTCCTCCCACGGTAAAAAGGGCAAACAAGCTCTCTTGGGGCTTACTTAGCTATTTATGAGGGCTTACTGATTCCCAAAAGGCCCCACCTCCCAATGCCATCACCTTGTGGTTAGGATTTTAGCCTATGAATTTGGGGTGGGAAAACATAAACATCAAGACCACGTTGTCTTGTCTCAATTTTCTGTCCTAAGCCCTTTATCATATGGGCAATTAAAGTCCCAGAAAACTGAGAGCCTCCAGAAATTTTGTTTTAGTATCATTCCCATTTAGCAGTTCTCAGGTGTTGAGCCAAACCTAGGGATGTGAATCTTTGGGTGTACACATATTCTAGGAACTATTGAAAATTATATCCTGAATTGGCCAAGTTAAATAGACTGAAGCTAGGCTACAAAATCCACATAGGCCTAGATGAGCAGAGATAATCAAGTTGTGCAGGTAGACAGGGTAGATGATGAAGAAAGCCAGTGCATAGGAAGGGCAGAAGCAGAAATTTGGAGGAAACTTTAGAATCCACATGTTCATGGAAGCATTTTATTTGGTGCTTATGACCACTGATATAAAAAAGCCAAAGCAAAATGAATGTGCAACTCCAGCTTCAGTAATATCAGGCCTTTTCAATTCTACATGCTTATTATCTTGCAAATGTACCCCTCTCCCTGCCATGCAGTTGGTTCCTAAGTCTGAGGGAATCTACCTCTTAAATACTTAATCTATTTCTCTGATGACCAGAGTAATCTATCTAAAAAAAAATTTGATAACCTTTTTACTTAAGTGCTTCAATGCCTCCCATTTCCTTCAGGCTTAAATATTAAAATCTAAGGCAATATGTAAGACTACTTATGATTTTGTCCCCTGCTTATTTTTTCTTACTCATCTATCACCATTTCCCCTTCCTCTCTAGCCACAATGATTTACTGGTAGTTCCTACATTATGCCATTCTTATACATTCCCATGTGATTCAGTTTCTCTGGATGTCATCTGGAATGTTCTATTCTTGTCTGTCTGGCAAGCTTCTAGTCCTCTAAGACGTTCTGTCTCTCTAAAGTCTTTACTGACCTACCCAGACAGAGTTGAATGCCCCTTCCTCAGGACTTCTTTGATCTCTGGCACATAGCTCTATTTTAGCACTCATTGAATGGTAATGCTTTGAAAGTCTGAGTGTTTCTAGAGAGCATGGACCATGTCTAATTTACTTCTTTGCCTTCAGAACCTGGAATAGTTTTTGATACATTGTAGGATCCCAAATTGGCTTTGAATAAACAGCATATTTTTTGTTTAAAAGCAGAAGGAACTTGTCAACAAGTTCATGTTGTTGATAATCTCTTGGATTCAAGATTTGATGTCTGAGGTATATGATGTTAAAGTATTATTGAACATCTATCCTAAGCCAGACATGGGAAAACAATGATCGACAAAAATAAATATGTGCTTTACTACTTTCACAAGTTGAGAATTCATCGGGGAAACTTCCTACTGTTGTAGAAATTATTAAATAAAATATAACATCTTTCAGGTTTGGCCCATGATAATAGTCTGAGATTGTCGCTAACATGAGCCTTCCTGAAATATGTCAAAGCCTTTGCCTGTTGGACTACTTTCATTTCTTATATGCTGCAGGCTCACCTCTTGTTCTCCAGCATAAAAACCATTTTGGTTGATAAACACAACAAATTAAAAATCAAACATGAAAAATAGTAACATTTTGTTTTAGTCCAAGCAAAACTTTGTCTTCAGAAATCTGTGGAGGGTTGGGATACATGAGTAACTTTACAGTTTACCAAGTGCTTTTGTATTTATAGTGGTGTTTGGTTTTGCTTATAGGAAAACTAAAGGGATGTTGGGGAAGCATTCAAGAGTCAACAAAACAGAATCATCATCTTAAGCTGGAGGGACTATGTTTTTAGGCAGTAAGAGGTTACTGAAATGTACCCAAGCAAATAAGGGTCATAGTCTCTACCCACAGCCAATAAGACGTAAACTTCTTTTTTTTTTTTTTTTTTTTTTTTGAGACGGAGTTTCGCTCTTGTTACCCAGGCTGGAGTGCAATGGCGCGATCCCGGCTCACTGCAACCTCTGCCTCCTGGATTCAGGCGATTCTCCTGCCTCAGCCTCCTGAGTAGCTGGGATTACAGGCACGCGCCACCATGCCCAGCTAATTTTTTGTATTTTTAGTAGAGACAGGGTTTCACCATGTTGACCAGGTTAGTCTCGATCTCTTGACCTCGTGATCCACCCACCTCGGCCTCCCAAAGTGCTGGGGTTACAGGCGTGAGCCACCGCGCCCGGCCTTAAGACGTAAACTTCTATCTCAGGCCGTGTGACTAGAGGAATGAAAGAGGCTTCCAGATCTTGGCATTTTGAAAATGGAAAAGGAAAACAAACAAAAAGTATATTCCTGTGAAAATCAGATATCAGAAAATTCAAACAAGCACGCTCTAGGTTCCTACTGTCTTGAGCTCTCCAGAGGGTTATATTCTGCTTCCTTCTCATTTAGGGTTAGCTAAAAAGAAGGGCAGACTTGGAATTAGGAAGAGCAAAGATGTATAGTTAAGTCCATTCAAAGGCATAACATTCAGCATCACAGGGGACATTCTTTTTAAAATGTTGATTGAGACAGGCGTTTATCTTAATTGAATTTGGCTATACTTGTTTCCCTCCAGCCCCTCAGCTGGAGGTGGTAACTAGGAATTGCTGCTAGAGAAGCAGTTTCTTCCTTTTAAGTGAAATGCTGCTATGGCAAAGACATGCTACTACAAGGGTTAAACTTTAAAACACTCGTTTTGATATTTTATTTATTATTGTTATTTTTGTGATGGAGTCTTACTCTATTGCCAGGCTGGAGTGCACTGGTGCGATCTTGGCTCACTGCAACCTCCATCTCCTGAGTTCAAGGGATTCTCCTGCCTCAGCCTCCCGAGTATCTGGGACTACACGCGCACACCACCATGACCAATATGGTGAAACCCTGCCTCTACTAAAAATACAAAAATTAGCCAGGCATCATAGCACACACCTGTAGTCCCAGCTGCACTTAAGATAGAGAACCCAAAGTTTTGTACCTGGTTATTTTGCACTGAAGTTTGTAGATGAAATGTGTCATTATAATAGCTTTCCTGAGGCTGTATTTAATGGGCAAAACAGTGGCCCCAGAGGGGTCTTAGGCCAAAGCCCAAACTCTCTTTTGGAAACTACTCTGTTAGAAAGTCAAAGCAGATTTCTGCTTAAGCTTGAAAGAGTTTTTTTTTTTTTTTTTTTTTCGCCTTCCCCATTTTCTTCCTTCCCTCAGTCTCAGACAAAGTCACCTTGAAAGCTCCACTTGACCTACAAGTTTTATTTTAAAAAGATGATCAAGGAAACTTCATCTTCTCTGAGACCCAGAAAAAGGGGAAAATAGTAGTAGTGCACTAATTGTTACACTATTAATATAGCTTTTGTAAATCTTGTTAGTTTTCAAAGCTCTGGGCTAAGCAAACAACAGCATCAGTTTAGGAAATTGTTACTACTTTGGACACAAACTGAAATTGCAACTTTGCCTTGTGCTTTGTTTATAATTTCTTTGTATATCAAAACAAGCCGGGCGCGGTGGCTCACTCCTGTAATCCCAGCACTTTGGGAGGCCGAGGCGGTTGGATCACGAGGTCAGGAGATCGACACCATCCTGGCCAGCATAGTGAAACGCTGTCTCTCCTAAAGTAAAAAAGGTTAGCCGGGTGGTTGAGTTGATGGCCTGGCCTATGGAGTAGATGTGATAGCTCATGGGGTTCACTTCCAGGTGGTGGGGGTGGGGAGCCAGGTGGGTCAGGGTTGTGTAGATGGGACTTACGGCGCAAAGCATGATGCCCCAGAATCTATGCTCAACTGTGGCGCAACCCATGCTGGGGGCATTTTGGCATCGCGAGGACCTTGTGAGGTAGGCAGTGCAGAGATTATTTCGAAAGGAGAGGAATTTCTCCTGACACAGTGACAAGCCCTGGCCTTCAAACCAAAGCGTCAGGCATCTGTTTTCCACCACACCGGCGGTTTTCCAACACTTGAAAATCATTTAAACATCATTGTGCTAACAGAAATTTATGAAAAGGCTCGGTACATTAAACAAATATATAACTGCACCAGAGTTTGGGAGGGAGTTCAGAGTTCCTAGGCTTGTCTTCTTTCCATCTTCCAACCCCAGGTTTCCACAAGGGTCTGGGGAAACTCCTAGCACCAAATTTAAAGTGAATTTGAAGGCTCCACAGAATTCTGAGTCCAGTAGTGATCTGCTCCCGGTGAAGTATCAGTCGTGCCAGAGAACGGGAATGGCAGAACTCGAATAGTGAGCATGACCAGTTACAATTGTCTGTTATTTTGGGGAGGGAGAAGGAAAATTAGTAAACCTGTAATGGTTTTTCAAATTTAAGCTTAATAAAAGCAAAGACTGTTGTAGTTTTGAGGATTTAGGGGGAAAGGATAAGACATTTGTAAATGGACAGAGCATGAGTTTTCAATTTTGCAGTTGCATTTTCTTTATCCCCCGCTGCCTCCCTTCACATTTCTGGAAGTATGTCTGCCCACATTCAAGGTTACCAATTGTGGGAGATAGTCTGCACCGTAAGGTAGAACTAGTTAGATAGGATCTATTAAAGTGCGGATCCACTCCTGTCCCCCGCAACCCCCCGCCCTGATTAATTCTGCCCACAGTAGACTTATGCAGTGGAAAAATCAGGACGATAACCCAGTGATGTATTGTGGTCAGGTTTCACTTAGCTCATTGTATGACTGCCCATTCTCAGCGAATATTCTTGAGCAAGTCTTAGCTTCTAGTGATTTTGTTGGATATTCTGGTAGTTCTTACGATCATGATCTTGTGGAACATAATTTGATCCTCAGCAAATTTCAGCAGTTTGCCATACTCATGCCTATGTGGTTACAATGAAGCATCCAGCTGTGCATTCAAATTAACTTCAGCCCTCCTTTGGGTTTACATTGTTTAGTAGTATTTATTATTGTCTTGTTCTGAATGGTGTATTTTCCTAGGTTAAAAAAAAAAAGAGAATTGTTCTTGCTATGAACACGAACGCTGATGGAAGATTTGGTTAGATGTTTAAAGGCCTGAAAAGGGCAGCAAGAGCTCCCTAAAAACCAAGTTGTTCCAGAGGGTAGACTTTTCCTCCATTGCCTTAGAAATACTAGTGGTTTCAGGAGAACTCTCAGACTCTGAATTAGAACTCTCTTTCAAACTTGAGACTGAAGGGTAAAGAAATCCCTAAATCATGCTGAATAACATGGGACACACATTGTCTGTTCCAAGTTGAGATTCCAAATTACCAAATCTGAATTTGCACTTGATTTTACTTCTCTGTATTATTTCAGTCACCAACCTTGGTGCCTATTTTCTTTATATACTTCTTCATCCTTCAATGTAAAATATGAAATATTTTGTGTATTTTTATTTATTTATTTTGCGATCTCGGCTCACTGCAACCTCCACCCCCTGAGTTCAAGCAATTCTCCTGCCTCAGCCTCCCAAGTAGCTGGGATTACAGGCACGTGCCACCACGCCCAGCTAACGTTTGTATTTTTAGTATGGATGGGGTTTCACCATGTTGACCAGGATGGTCTTCATCTCTTGACCTCGTGATCTGCCCGCCTTGGCCTCCCAAAGTGCTGGGATGACAGGCATGAGCCACTGCGCCTGGCCTGAAATCTGTTGTTAAGCCTTAGTTCCTTTTGATAGAGTAATGGTTCTTCCTCATAGCAAAACTGAACTGACCTCTTTTCAGACACTTGTTTTCCATATCCCACATCAAGACATACCCTCTCATTCAAATAGGAAAAGAAGTCAAATTATTTCTTTGCAGATGATATGATTCTATATCTAGACAACCCTAAAGACTCCACCAAAAGGCTCCTGGAACTGATAATTGACTTCAATAAAATTTCAGGATATAAAATCAGTAGCATTTCTATATATCAATAATGTTCAACTAATAACCAAATCAAGAATGCAGTTCCATTTACAATAGTCACACACACACACAAAATACCTAAGACTACATCTAACCAATGAGATGAAAGAGCTCTACAAGGAGAACTACAAAACACTGCCAAAAGAAATTGTAGATGATACAAACAAATGGCAGACATTACATGCTCATGGACTGGAAGAATCAAAATTGTTAAAATGGCCATACTGCCCAAAGCAGTGTATGGATTCAATGTCATTCCTTTCAAACTGTCACTGTTATTTTTCACAAAACTAGAAAAAAAAAAAAAAGCCTGAGAAGCCAAAACAACCCTAACCAGAAAGAGCAAAGCTGGAGGCATCACATTACCTGACTTCAAACTGTATTACTATACTGAGGCTACAGGAGTCAAAACAGCATGGTACTGGTACACGTAGACTAGTGGAACAGACATGTAGACACTGGAACAGAATAGAGACTCAGAAATAAAGCTACACACCTATAGCCATCTGATCTTTGACAAAGTCAACAAAAATAAGCAACAGGGAAAGGATTCCTGATTTAATAAATGGTGCTGAGATAGGTGGCTAGCTATATAGAGAATAAAACTGGACTCCTACCTGTCACCATATACAAAAACTAACTCAAGATGGATTAAAGGTTTAAATATAAACCTCACACCATTAAGAATCTTAGAAGAAAGCCTAGGAAACATCATTCTGGACATTAGTCTTGGGAAAGAATTTATGACTAAGTCCCCCAAAGCAATCTCAACAAATACAAACATTGACGAGTGGGACCTAACTAAAGAAAGAGCTTCTTCTGCGCAGCAAAAGAAACTATTAATAGAGTAAGCAGACAACCTAAAGAATGGGAGAAAATATTCACAAACTATGCATCCGACAAAGGTCTAGTATCCAGAATCCATATGGAACTTAAACAGTTGAACAAGCAAAAACCAAATAACTCCATTTAAAAATGGGCAAAATACATGAACAGACACTTTTCAGAAGAAGACATACAAGTGGCCAATAAACATGAAAAAACGTTCCACATCACTAATCATCAGAGAAATGCAAATCAAAACTGTAATGAGATAACATTCCACACCTGTCAGAATGGCTATTCTTAAAAAGTCAAAAAAACAACATGTTAAGAAGGCTGCAGAGAAAAGGGAATGCTTATACACAGGTGGTGGGAATGTAAATTCAGCTACTGTAGAAAACAGTTTATAGATTTCTTAAATAACTTAAAGCAGATCTGCCATTAATCCAGCAATCCCATTACTAGGTATATATGCAAAAGAAAATCATCCTACTGAAAAGATACATGCACTCATATGTTCATCGCAGCATTGTTCACAATAGTAAAGACATGGAATCGACTTAGGTGCCCATCAATAGTGGATTGGATAAAGAAAATGTGGTACATACACAGTATGGAATACTACATAGGCATAAAAAAGAATGAAATCATGTCCTTTCCAGCAACATGGATGGAGTTGGAGGCCATTATCCTAAGTGAATTAATGCAGGAATAGAAAATCAAATACCACATATGCTCACTTGTAAGTGGGAGCTAAACATTGGATGCTCTTGGACATAAAGATGATAACAGTAGACACTGAGGAGTACTAGAGGGGTAAGTAGGTGGGAACAAGGGTTGAAAAACTAACCATTGGGTACTGTGCTCAGTACCTAGGTGATTAGATCATTCCTAATCCAAACCTTCGTATTGCACAATATACCCAAGTAACAAACCTGCACATGTACCTCTGAATCTAAAACAAAAGTGGAAAAAAAAGACAGTAGCCTCTGGAGGGGAAGCTACTTATTGGCAATGTT